GTGGACAGATCGCTTGCGCTCTTCTCCCTTTGACCCTTTGGGAGAACTGTAATAAAGTAGCCCTATAAACCACGTGCACTAAATCTGTATAACTCTACCAACTTTCAGACCCGTTCTGCAGCAGACACTGAGGCTGTGCGCCGCCCACCTTCCTCTGCATCCCCTTTGAGCCGCAGCCAGGGCGCAGGGCTTACCGCCGCGGCCGGGAGGTGCCGAGGACAGGGCGGCCGGGAGCTGGAAGTGTGCGAGGCAGGAGGCAGCTGGGCCTCGGCGCGGGAACGCTGACTTCACTGTGCCGCACCCACGGCCTGTGTTTATAAATATCCTGGGCTTCAGGCTCCGCACGGAGAGGACACACAGCAGCTTCGGGGGACAGCGCGTGCTGGGCTGAGGGGGCGCAGGATGGGGTGCAGGGTAGGGTTAAGGACACCGGTGAGAAGTCTCAAGGACAGGGTCAGAAAGTTGTTTTTTTTTTGTTTTTTTTTTTTTGAGACAGGGTCTCACTATGTAGTCCAAGCTAGCCTCAAACTCAAGGTGATTCTCCTGCGTCAGCCTCCCAAGCGCTAGGATTACAGGGGAGTGTCACCATGCCTGGCTGAGACTTCTGCCTCTGCTATTAGCCCACAAGCAGGCAAAGGCACAGGCAGCGTCCCCTGGTGATGGGGGAGGAGACAGAAGGCTCTGTGACAGCTGAGAGGTGGAGCCAGGGGAGGTGACAGGTTTCTGACAAGTGGCTTTTTAGCATCAGGGGTGGGGTGGGCAGTCATCAGGCCATCCACGGGTTCCAGCTTGGGAAACGGGGATACTTGTGTGTTTCACAAAGTTTGAAGCCAAGAGTAGCAGTGACTATACCTGTAATCCCAGCACCTGGGAGGCTGAGGCAGGAAGATCACTGCAAGTTCGAGGTCAGCCTGGGCTACACAGTGAGACCCTGTCTCAAAAACCTCAAAATTTTAAAAAGTTTATGAAGTGAAGTTTGAGATGTGGGGTTGGGAAGAGGGGATGAGGATCCTGAAGACATTAGATGGATACAGTTTCAGGACAGTCATTCACTCATTCAACAAACATGTTGACAATGTACTTTATGTGAGCTGTGCTCTGGGTGCCCGTCACATGGCAGGGATATGGCCCTGGAGGAGGGTCAGGTTGACCAGAGGAACAACCCACTTGCCTCGGCACTGTCGCCTTTGCTGATAGTTTTTGTCTATGCTATACAGCACCCTTCCTTCCAATTCTCGCAGTGGTTGTCACACACAAACGGTGACTGTGTCAGGCACGTGCTGACTTTAATACTCCATCTCTCACTTCAGAGATGAGGAAGTTTTTTCTGAGTCGAGCTCACTGTGTAGCTCAGCCTGGCCTCAAACTGCGATGGTCCTCCTGCCTCAGCCTCCAGAGTGCTGGGATGACAGGCGTGCACCACCACGCCCGGGTTTGCCTAGTGGCTTTATAAGCTCTGACCAAGTGTTCCTGGGGAAGGCAAGGCAGGCGGCGCTGAGCTGCAGCGGGCGCCATGGGTCTGCCGTGTGACTTCGCCTCCCTCCGTGTTCCAGCTGCCGGACGCTGTCTTTTTTCTGCTACTGCGCCGAGAGCAAGAGCGCGGCCCTGCGCTGCCTCATCCACCTGGCTCCTCCCGCTCCTGGGGGAGGCAGCGCAGCCCCCAGCAGGTTTTCCCGAGGCATCAGTGTTACAGGAACAGTGAGGAGGGCTGGTGCTGCTAACAGAGCTCTGGGCTGTTTTCAGCCGGGAGTGGGGGCTCACACCTGTAATCTCTGCTACTTAGCCTGAGGCAAGAGGACCTAAGTCTGAAACTTGTATCAAAAACTCCCCGCAAAAACAAAAGCAAGAATTGAATCTTACGGGGAAGGTTCCAATGGCCGGAGGTGAAGAAGACCATTTCTTTTTTTCTTTTGTCTTTTTGAGACAGGGTCTCGCTATGCAGTTCAGACTGGCCTTGAATTCACAATGATCTTCCTGCCTCAGCCTCCCGAGTGCGGGGATTTCAGGAGTGAGCCACCATGCCGGGCTAAGAAGACCGTTTCTAGCCTAGGAAATTCTAGCAGAGCCACAGTGTTTAGGGAACCACGAAAAGGTGTGTACAGGGCTGATGTCTGAGGTGTCCTTCATGTCACAGTTGCTTTTTACTTTTTGTGGGACAGGGCGTTGGACCCAAGTCCTGCACACTAGGTAGCAATCTACCACCGAGCTGCTCCTGAGGCTTCTTCTGTTTTGTTTTTGTCTTTTGAGACAGTGTCTCACTATATAGTTCAAACTGGCCTTGAACTCCTTTTGTAGCCAGACTGGCCTGGAACTTGCAGTGATCCTCGTGCCTCAGCCTCTTGAGCAGCTGGATCTCAAGTGAGTGCTAGCACCTGCAGTCCAAGGCTGCTTTCTTGCCCTGGTAATTCTGCAAGTATCCCGAAAGTTCCAGAAAATCCCACTCTTCTCTTCTGTCACGGTAGGCACGGTCACCGCCCTCCTTTGGGGGTGCAGTAGTGCCCAGCGACAGCCTGGCAGGGGTCGTCTCCAGGCGGCGCTGCCTAGACAGCCTCATCGCAGTCCCCCTGGTTCCCAGCTCAGTCCTTCTCCTTGCACGGCGTCAGAAGAGCACCTGCCTGCCGTTCCTAACCCTCGAGTGAATGTCAGACTTTGGTCTTAAAGCTTGTAATGAAGTTTTATGGATAACCCTACACACAGGGCGGTCTGACTTGGACCGCAGATGCAGCAACACTGCATTGACCAGACCCCTGTCGTGCCAGAAAGCCAGGGTCTCACAAAGCCCCACACAAGTGCACAAGTGCCCTACACCACGCTCCTGCCCAGCCCTATGCAGCCAACTTGTCTTTTTTTTTTTTGAGACAAGATCTCACTATGTAGCCCAGGCTGGCCTCGAACTCATGGCAAAGGATGAGTGGTGCGCGCCACCACACCTGGCTGAGATTCCGACTCTGCCCCGTGAGCCAGGAGCTGGGCGGCCTCAGCCAGGCAGTCGGCAGGATCACAACCAAAGCCCTGGCGCCCTCTGGTGGTGGCCTGGTTCCTTCTGGGCCAGGACAGGCAGGCGGGTCCGGCACACACAAGTCACAGGCTGAACCGAACGCATTTGCCTAGATCAGCTTTACTGGAAGATTTTTGGGGAGAAAAAAGTAGGAAATGAAAACATTTTTATATTAAAATAAAAGCAGCACAGCTTGCACCTAGAATATGAAATGACCCTGCGGTGGTGGCGCTGTGGGCACTCCTGCCGCTCAGAACTGCCGAGCGGCTTCTCCAGGCCTGGCTGCGGCCGCGGGCCCCACCTCCCCAGCCGCTAACCCGACCGAGGGTGTGACGGGGCTGTCCTGGGCCCTGGGGACTTCAGCCACAGCCGCGCCAGCAAGGCGGTGACCAACGCCTTCCGAGGCACCCTCAGGAGGCACCTCTTGCCTCTTGGGATAACACAAAGGGAGCAAAACCGAAAGCTTTGGGACCGAAGGCCAGAGCGACAGCACATGGCGCGCACCGCGTGTCCGCTCCAGCGCTCACCCGCCCCTCGCCGCAGGGAAGTCCCTCCCTTTACGGTGGGTGACACGCTCAGGGCACACATGTCCCTCAGCAGCGCGTCCCTGTGAGCCAGGAGGTCTGGGCTGGGCACGAGGCGGTCAGGCCCCCAGGGAGAGGGCAGGAGCGGTGACAGCCAGTCTCAAGCCACCACAGCCTGCCTGGCCTGCAGGGGAACATGGCGTCTTCTCTGCTTAGGTAGAGTGCGAACCTGGAGCAAATGGGAGAGTGCGACCCTGGTGAGCTCAGGGTCACTACGGGTGCCGGCGGCCGGGCCGTGCAGGACAGACAACAGAAAAGTAGACACCCGCCGCCTCCGTTTCCCAAGATCAAGTGATTATTAAAAAAGCGCGCCACACCATATAGAAATCAACATTCTCTCCCATCATTCTGTGCGTCTGGGACCGCAGAAATGTCACTGTCCCTGCCCCGCATCTTCAGATCAGCATCCTCAGGTCGCAGCAGTACGTCTTCCCGAAGGGGACCTTCCGGAAAAACAAGCTGTTTCCCCGGCTCATGTTTCCCTGCAAGTAAGCACAGCGAGGCGGGTGAGGCCTGGCAGGAAGAGCGCGGCTGCCCCAGGACAGGGAGCGCTTCTCACGCTGGGCGGGCCTGGGCCTGGCCCCGCTGGGCAGGCTGCCCACCGCAGGGGACACTCCTGGCGCCCGGCAGCCTTCCGCTCTGGCAGGATGGGCTGCTGTGGACTAACGACAGCTCGTCCTCCTCCACACAGCAAGGATGCTGTTTTTCTGGAGGGGGTTAATACTGGGCACTGACCCCAGGGCCTCTGCACTGAACTACATCCTCAGCTCTTACTTTTTTTTTTTTTTTTTTGAGACAGGGTCTCCTTATGCAGTTCGAGCTACAAAGTGGCCTTGAGCTCACTTTGTAGCCCAGGCTGGTCTTGAACTTGCGATGACCCTCCTGCCTCAGCGTTCTGAGTGCTGTGATTACAGGTGTGCGCCACCACGCCGGGCCTTCCTTTTATGTTTTTTGAGACAAGATCTTGCTCAGTGACTAAGTTGTCCAGGCTGGGCTTGAAGTCTTTCCACCTTCCTGCCTCAGCCTCCCAGGGTGCTGGGATTACAGGCATGTGGTGCTGAGAGCAGGAAAGTATTTCTTACTCAAGACAAAGCGCCTGCCTACTTTGGACCTGGGTTTTCCCACCTGCCAGGGGGCCATCAGATGAGTCAATGTGGGCACCCAGCGAGTGCCAGCCTTTTTTCTTCTTCTCAGTGCTGGGGGTGGAGCCCAGGGCCTCACACATCTGCTAGGCAGGTGCACTACTAGTACCCTTTGAAGGAAATGTCAGGTTTCTAAGGAGAATTTTTTAAAAACCTTATATTTAAAAGCCAGGAGTGGCGGTGCACACCTGTAATCCCAGCACTCAGAAGGCCGAGGCACGAGTTCCAGCCCAGCCTGGGCGACAGTGAATTCAAGGCCAGCCTGGACTGTGTAACTAGACCCCGTCTCACAAACACCAAAGTAAACAAACCTTACAGTTAGACAGATGATGTGAGGGCCGGGGATGGAACTCAGGGCTCAGCGTCTGCCTGACAAGTGTGAGGTCTGGAGTACCAGAAGGGAAAGGAAGGGAGGGAGGGAAGGAGGGAGGGAAGGAAAGAGAAAGAAAGAGAGATGGATGCTCCTAGGGCCGCTCGGCACGGCCCGACAGCCTATGTGCGGACGCCGGCCCCTCGGCGCGGCCCGTGAGGTCCTGCGGCTGGGAACAGCACCCACTGCTCTCAGTGCATCTCTGGCAGGTGAGGCGGACCGCAGAGCACACTGGGTGGTCCTGTGCTGAGTTCTACGGGAGTCCTGAGCACATGTCTACACCAAGGCTCCTCCGGGTTCCGCTGTCTACCTGCTTTGGAAGCAGGGGTTAGTGAGAGAGTGGGCAAGAGACCACGTCTGCTTTACACAAGGGTCCCATCAGGAGACTTCCCAACAGTGTAAAGCTCAGAATGAACCAGATGGGCGGGCATAGTGGTGTTTGCTTGTAATCCCAGCACTTGGGAGGCTGCGGCAGGAGGATCGCCACAAGCTCAAGGCCAGCCTGAGCTACACAGTGAGTTCAAAGTCAGCTTCAACTACAGAGATCCTGTCTCAAAAAATGAAAAATAAAGCTGGGCGTGGTGGCGCACGCCTGTAATCCCAGCACTCAGGAGGCCGAGGCAGGAGGATTGCCATAAGTTCAAGACCAGCCTGGGCTACAAAGTGAGCTCAAGGCCGGCCTGAACTGCATAGCAAGACCCTGTCTCAAAAAGACCAAAAAAAAAAAAA